GTACATAGCAGAGGGGCATTGCTGGCATATGCTGGCATATATAACATCGGTGGACGTGCAGGTGAATGAGCCGGTGATGTTGTAGCTGATCTGGTTAGGTCCAGTGATGGTGTTGCTGGTGTAGATATGTGGGCAGAGTCGGCATCGAGGTTTATTGCATGGGTTGGTTCCTGAGTTAGAGTTGTTATGGTGCGGTGCGTGGTTGCTGGTGAGAATATGCTTAAGGTTGGCAGGTTGTCTGTGGGCGAGGACTGGCCTGCCTCCCAAGGTCTGTGAAAGTGAGGGATCATTGTCCAGGATGGATCTCTTGCCTTGTCCCCCTCAGTCTTGTTCTCTCCGTTCAGTCCCATTATCCGACCAGCTTGGAGCTCGATACTGTCCCGGTGAGGACCCAGAATGTCCTGGAGGATTTCAGGTGGAAAGTGGAGGCCGTTAGGGCTTTAGCTGTACTTCCCCCGGTTGCTGACAGGGTGGCAGAGTCCCTTCTCTGGGCGGTTTGTGTCTATGGAGTCCTGGGTAAACAGCGGATGGAGCAGCTCTCCGCTGCTCTCTCCCCTCTTCGCCAATGGATGGTGGTGATGAGCTGCGTAACGTCTGCGTTTCGCGCTGCCAGGCGCACACATTGCATGGGCTGGTAGCGGTGATCTCTGCTCCAGGTACCAGGGTGACCGACACTCGTAAAACACAGACCAGGTGGGTGAGGCAGGTCATTGCTTATTGAACCAACTTTTCTGGCTTTCAAGCCCCACAGAGCCCTTCAGGTCACAAGAAGCTGGAAAGCGTCTCTTCCACCCTCAGAACTTGGTACAGTAGAAGATATGACCTCGCGCGTCTTGTCTGTGTCTCCTCCTGGGACCAACACTGCTACAACACCGCTCCTGAACCGGATAAGTTACATTCTGTTCCAGGGGCTGGATTGGTGCCTACAGCCTGAAAGAAAATTGTACAGGGACTTTGGGGCTAAACCTGGTCAGAAAAGGTTAAATATTTTCCACAAACTTTTGAAAGGAACAATGAATGTTTTTGTGAATTCTTTAGGTTTTCATTTAAAAACAAAAAATATTTCCATCAACTTTCCAGTTTTCAAAAACTGAATTTTTTGGCTCTCTTGCAATTCTTTTAAAATGAAACCCCTTCCTGAGCCTGGTTCCAAAATAACTTTCATCAGAAAATAATTTTTGAACAAACATGGAGCCTGGCTCCACTGCAGCTCAGCGTTCTCTCCTGCCTCGTCTGAGCCCTGGAGCACTTGCAGATCGGTGCTCGGTCTCGTGTGAGGTCACTGGACCAGATATTTAGACTCCTAATTCCCAGTGATTTCAACAGGAGTTCAGGGCCTAAATACCTGGTGAGGATACAGACTGTCCCATTCTGATTCGCCAGTCCTCCAACGTCCTCTGCCAAACCCAGGGTGGGAAAAATCGGCTACTTCAGGAGTGAAATGCAGCTCCACCTGGGGCATCTCTGGCCCCTCCCCGTTTCCCCAGAGGCTGCAGCCCAGACAGTGGGATGTGTACAATCAGCTGCGGAGATGATGCCCCCCCAGTGCCCTGGTGCATGCTGGGAAGACCCTTGTATCGCGGGGTGGGGGTCTCTGCTGGAGGGGGGGTCAGACTCACCTTCTCTTTTACAGCTGCTTTGCTAAGATCAATACCCCCCCCCCCGTCTGCTGTAGCGAGAGGTGGGGGAGCCTGAAGGTGAAACTGGGCCCCGGAGCACCCAGCGGGCGGGCGGGTCAGCTCTGGTTACTCCTGGGGTAATTTTGGGCACAATATTTTAAAATTCTGCAAAATTCTGTTTTATTTGTCAAAGTAACACAATATAATCACGCCAGTTCCAGTTATTTTGTTAATTTATTTCATAAAGTTTCAGGAAACGTTTTTTCACAAATAAATTCCTTACTGGGCATCTCAATACTGAGATCTGAGTAATAATCATGGGAACTGCAATACAGAGCCGCAGTCCCACACTCCCCAGGAGCCCCCGAGCGGTGGGAGGGGAGGGAGATGCCATGATCCCCGCGCCGGGGGGCTCCGTAGGGTTGCCAGGCGTCTGGTTTTTGCCCAGAACACCCATCGAAAAGGGACCCTGGCAGCGCCAGTCAGCACCACCCACTGGGCTGTTAAAACTCTGGTTGACGGCACGGCGAGGCTACGAGAGGCTCCCGGAAGTGGGTGGCAGGTCCCTGCAGCCCCTAGGCACAGGTGCGAGCAGGGAATCTCCGTGAGCTGCCCCTGCCGTGAGCACCGGCTCCACAGCTCCCATGGGCTGGGAACTACGGGGCAGTGCCTGCAGGTGTGGGTAGCGCGCACCTTGCAGAGCCCCCTGGCCGTACCTCTGCCTAGGGGCCGGACATGGCAGCCGCTTCCGGGAGCAGGGCAGGCAGGGAACCTGCCTTAGCCCCGCTGTGCTGCCGACTGGGAGCCGCCTGAGGTAAGTGCCGCCCGGCCGGAGTCCGCACTCTGAATCCCCTGTCCCAGGCTGGAACCCCCCTACTGCCCCCTAACTCCATCGCAGACCCTGCACCTGACACCTGTCATGGAGTCCCCGGGCGATGCTCTGGAACTGCTCCCCACAAAGCCAGGCAGGACTTTGGGGAGCCTCCTCTCCCTCGGAGCAGACTGTCTTCAGGGCAAGAAGCTCACATGACTTCACCTCCTGGGTCTGACCTTGGCACATTCAGCATCTGCCCCTCCGTGCGCTTCCCACAGCGAGTCCGCCCCGGCGGGGTCCTGGGGACACCAGAAGACCTGCACGCACCCCCACTTTGCAGTGACTCTCAGCCAGCCAGTAAAACAGGGGTTTATTAGATGACAGGAACACGGTCTAAAACAGAGCTTGTAGGTCCAGCGAACGGGACCCCTCAGCGTGGTCCATTCTGGGGCTCAGAGAGCCAGACACCCCCGTCTGCCCTCCCTCCTCGTCCCCAGGTCGCTCCAACTCTGAAACCCCCTCCAGCCCCTCCTTCTCCCGGCTTTGTCTCTTTCCTGGGCCAGGAGGTCACCTGATCCCTTTGTTCACCATTAGCTATTTCCTTGCAGTTGAGGGAAGGGCCCCGGCCATTTGTTGCTAGGGAGACAGAGTGTCAGTGATTTATGCACACTGGCCTCTCCCCACCACCTAGAGACTTAAGAAATGCATAGGGGAAACTGAGGCACCCACACAGTATTCAGAGGAAACATTAAGAATAGTCCCACTTCGTCACAGAACCCCAGAATGGACCCGGCCGATGGGTCCTGTTCGCTGGACCTACGAGCTCTGTTTTAGACCATGTTCCTGTCGTCTAATAAACCTCTGTGTTACTGGCTGGCTAAGAGTCGCGTCTGACTGCGAAGTGGGGGTGCAGGACCCTCTGGCTGCCCCAGGACCCCGCCAGGGCGGACTCGCTGTGGGAAGCGCATGGAGGGGCAGATGCTGAATGCTCCAAGGTCAGACCCAGGAGGTGAAGCCGTGTGAGCTCCTTGCCCTGAAGACAGTCTGCTCCGAGGGAGAGGAGGCTCCCCAGAGTCCTGCCTGGCTTTGTGGGGAGCAGTTCCAGAGCATCGCCCGGGGACTCCGTGACAGGTTCAGAGAGCCAGACACCCACGTCTGCCCTCACTCCTCGTCCCCAGCCAGCTCCAACTCTCCAACCCCCGCAGCCCCTCCTTCTCTGGGCTTTGTCTCTTTCCTGGGCCAGGAGGTCACCTGATCTCTTTGTTCACCTTTAGCTATTTCCTTGCGGGGGGGTGGGGAGGGAAAAGGGGCCCTGGCCATTTGTTGCCAGGGAGCCAGAGTGTCAGTGATTTATGCACACTGGCCTTTCCACACCACCTAGAGACTTAAGAAATGCATAGGGGAAACTGAGGCACCCACACAGTATTCAGAGGAAACATTAAGAACAGTCCCACTTCATCACAACACCTCCTCCTGTACCCCTGCCCCAGCCCTGAGCCCCTCCCGGAGCCCACACCCGTAGCCCCCTCCCACACCCTGAAGCCTCATTTCTGGTCCCTTCCAGAACCCGCACCCCCAGCTGGAGCCTTCACCCCCCCACACACATCCCCAGCGAATCATCCTCCCCCCACAGTGGCCGAAGGGGAAGTGGGCGGATGCAGATGGGAAGGGAAGTCTGAGCCAGGAGGGGCCCGTGGGGCTGTTCTGCCAATGGGCCCCGCTCCCAGTGCAGAGTCCCCCCCACCAGATTCAAGGCAGGTCCTGGTGCAGCAAAGGGCAATGGAGCAAACCCCCAACAGGCCGGGCGGCCCCTGGAGAGCGATTCTCTTGGCAGGTGAGAAGGGGGAACCCAGGTGTCCGGGACACAAATGCATCCAACAGAGAAGAGCAGAAACGAAGGTAGAGGGGCTGCAGGTCGGGAGTGAGGGGCTCTGGCAGAGCCGGGGGGGAGTGGGGGGAGACCAGGGCTGGGAGAGCAGGGGGCTGGGGGCGGGAGTGAGGGGCTCTGGCAGAGCTGGATGGGGGGGGAGACCAGGGCTGGGAGAGCAGGGGGCTGCGGGTCGGGAATGAGGGGCTCTGGCAGAGCTGGGGTGGGGGGAAGACCAGGGCTGGGAGAGCAGGGGGCTGCGGGTCGGGAGTGAGGGTTGGATTGGACCACAGATGGGGGGGCCCATTGTGTCCTGCTGCACAGACCCCGACCCATATCAGGGACCTTTCTCGCTCTTGCTGATTTCCTGCTCATCTCCGTCTGTCTCGTCGCTGTGGGTGGCCCAGACACACTGTCACGGACTCACAGATTGTGCCCACTCTTGGCCCCATGCGGTCTGTGGGGGGGTGCCCCTTTCAGTGAGACAGCCCTTCTCGGGGGTCCACTCTCTCTCGGGGTCAGGCCCCTCCACGTCCTGGATCCGCACCTCTCTGAGCCTTAGCATGTCTGTCTCTGCCGTGGGCCCCCTCAGGGAGTCCACTCGCTCTGGACCCCCTGGGGCCTCCACCCCCAAAGGGGTTGATGCAACCCTGTTCTCTAGACTGGAGTGACTCTCAGCCAGCATGAAACAGGAGGGTTTATTGAGCGTTGAACACAGCACAGGAAACTCTCTGACCCTCAGGCCTGGCCTCCCTCAGCCCAGCACATCCCAGTCTCCCTGCATCCAGGTGGGCTCTGCCTGCTCCCCCTCTCCAGCCCAGAGCCCCCCTGCTCCCAGCTGGGCATCTGAGATCCCCGGCCCCAGGCCCCGCCTCTGTCCATTGTCTTCTCTCCAGGGAAACAGGGTCGTAAACCGGGGCCTCCTCTCCCCTCTTCTCTCCTCTGGCTGGAACCGGCTGGTTAGGTCACTGGGTCCTCACTCTGCAGCCCATTGTCCGCCCACTGGCCAGAACCGGCTGTGTCTCCTCAGCTGGGCCTCCGGGTCGCCAGGTCACCGGTCGCTGGGGTATCCATCCTCCAGGCCATTGGCTGGGTCCCCAGGTCCTCTCTCCGGTCCTCTGCAAAACAAACTCCCTCTCCCCTCACCTCGTTAAACCAGTAACACCCAGGGAAACTGAGTCCCACCCCCTCCGCATGCAAACCATTGAAACTCCACAGAAAACAAGAAAACCCCCCACTTCGTCACACACACACACACACATACCTGCAGCTACACACACTGCGCACACACTGCACAGCCACAGCTGTGCTCAGACACACGGAGACTCAATCACACACAGCTGCAGAGTTACCGCTGTGCACACACACAAAGAACACACACACACTGTGACGAACTGGGACTGTTCTTAATGTGGTCTTTGAATGCTGAGTAGGGAGTGTTGGCTGGGAAGCAGGGGAGTGTGGCTAGGATGGTCTGCATTGGGGGATGGGAGCCTGGCCGTGAGGGAAGATACCTGAACATGTGTGGGGCCCAGAGCGAGGGGACTCCCTGAGGGGGCCCACGGCAGAGACAGACATGCTAAGGCTCAGAGAGGTGCGGCTCCAGGAGGTGGAGGGGCCTGACCCCGAGAGAGAGTGGACCCCTGAGGAGGGCTGTCGCACTGAAAGGGGCACCCACCACAGACCGCACAGGGCCAAAAGTGGGCACGATCTGTGAGTCCGTGACAGTGATATCTGGACTGATGAAGGTGTCATTTTGGGAGATAAGCGAGTGATTTAAGGAAAGCGAGAAGTTCACTCTGCAGAGGCTGGAGGGAACTGAACAGTTGATAGATGTGAAAATGTTTAAAAAAGGGAAAGTGGGAGAGGAAGAGAATTCTTGGTTTCTCTGCAGCCATTCTGAAGGGAAAACGGGCCCTTTTCCAAAGCAATGTCTGCAAATAATCCAGGCCAAGAGACAATCTGATTGAAATCATTGGACTCTGGACAATTTAGTCAGATTTGCTAAGAGAGCATAAGGGGTTTCTACTGGAACTTACCTGTCCTGGTTGGCCCCGTTCTGGGCCATCCCTAGCCATTTTGGCACCCTGCGCAGCCCCCCCATGGGAGCTGTGTGGGGCCCCAGGCCTCAGCATGGGGGCAGGAGCAGGCTTGGGGGGCAGGGGGAAACCGCCCCCCAGCACGAGCCGGCGGAGCCCCAAATTTCCTGGTGCGCTACTCAGCTGCGTACTTTGCGTACGGGTAGGGACAGCCCTGGACCATTTCTGGTGAAATAAAATTATTCTACTTAACTGCCAGGGGGCAAATTTGTCACATACACATGGGAGAAAGTAGAAGGGAGAGATGCAGCGTTAGCTAGGGAGAGTCTAAACTCAGGAAGTTCCTTGGAGAGGAAATGTAGATAAACTCCAAACCTGGAGACAATGGACCTTTCTGTGCCTGCGTCCTGTAGATCCCTAACTGCTTGGTTTGCAAAATAACGCAAGGGGGGAGCAAGGAGATGAACAATAAGGGGTCATAAGAGGGGCAGATACATGTAACTTGCTAATTATGTATGGTAATGATGGCAAATTTTGGCCAATCATAGAGCGATAGATTATCATAGTCAACTGCATATAATGCTTTGGTGTAAGTGTTTTCTTGGTTCTTGCTGACTTATGAGCTCGAACCCAATTGCAATTGAAATAAACAGATCGTCCCTCCCGGGGCTCCTTGCTTGGCGAGCTGTGTCCGTCCCTCCTTATTCCTCAGCCGGAACGGACAGAAATTTCCACGACACTGGGCACCACCAAAAATTATACAAACCTGGCGCCCATGGTCAGGACCAACCCCTTCCACCTGCTGACTATTGTGGGGTCGTCCCCGGGGGGCGCAGTTCTGCCCCATGTCCTGTCCCTGGCAGGCGGGTGGATCCCTGGTGCCCGGCAGGGCATGATGGAGGCTATGCTGGGACCCAGAGCCTGGCGTAACTGGGCTTGTCCTGGGATACACATCCCCTGTGGGGGGTTGTCATGCAGTCCCCGGGTGATGCTCGGGAACTGATCCCCACAAAGCCAGGCAGGACTCTGGTGAAGTCTCCTCTCCCTCGGAGCAGACTGTCTTCAGGGCAAGGAACTCACACGGCTTCACCTCCTGGGTCTGACCTTGGAGCATTCAGCATATGCCCCTCCATGCGCTTCCCACAGCGAGTCCACCCCGGCGGGGTCCTGGGGCAGCCAGAGGGTTCTGCACCCCCACGTCGCAGTCAGACGTGACTCTCAGCCAGCCAGTAAAACAGGGGTTTATTAGATGACAGGAACACGGTCTAAAACAGAGCTTGTAGGTACAGAGAACAGGAACCCTCAGCCGGGTCCATCCTGGGGCCCAGTGAGCCAGACCCCCCCGGCCCCGTCTGCCCTCCCCAGCCAGCTCCAAACTGACTCACCCTCCAGCCCCTCCTCCACTGGGCTTTGTTCCTTTCCCAGGCCAGGATGTCACCTGACCTTTAGCTATCTCCTTGCGGGGGGCGGGGGGGGAAGGACCCAGACCATTAGTTGCCAGGAGACAGTGTCGGCCCTTTATGTGCACTGGCCTTTTGCTCTGCAACAATCCCACCCCCTAGAGACTTAAGAACTGCATAGGGGAAACTGAGGCACCCACACAGTATTCAGAGAAAACATTAAGAACAGTCCCACTTCGTCACAGGTGGGCTCCCAAATCCTGTGCTGGGCACAACTCAGCCGGAGCCAGTCACAGGCGCCGACTTTCTGATTTCCTCGCAGAGGCCCAGACGCTGCGGTGATGGGCCCCAGGGAAGCAGCATGGACAGACGGACGGACGGACCCCCCGGGCCAGGTGGTGACTGTTCCTGCCCTTTAACGCTTCATCGACGGGACGTCCCCGGGGCGGCAGGACCCAGGCTCAGGGACTCGCCTTTCCCAGCATGCCCCGGGCCCCTCCCAGCATGCACCAGGGGCAGGAGGGGGCGTCACTTCTTCAGCTCCTCGTACACGTCCGGCTTTCGGAGCTGCAGCGTCTGGAGGAAAACGGGGATGATTCAGCCAGAGACACCCCAGGGGGCCATGACAGCCCTTCACATCCTGGGGGGCCCATCCTTTCCACCCCAGTGCTGGGCCCCCCATAACGCCTCCCCTCAACCCTGAGGCTCCCGGCTGGTCCCGCTTTGGCTCACTCTGCCCCCGCCAGCTCTGGGATGTGATAACCAGCCCTGTTCCCAGCCATAGGGGTTGTTGGGGGGCAGCTCCTCCCTCCCCCCACTGGGTCCAACCCCCATCATGGGGGAGGATACAGAGCAAGGGGCCGGTGCTCACCTGGTACGTGGGGCTGGGGTCAGGGGGGCTCCCAGGCTGGGCCTGGGGGAGACAGAGGCAAGAGGGTTGTTAGCACCAGACCCCAGAGACCCCCCAGGTCACCAGCCAAGCTCGGGGGGGGGACCCTGGGATAGTAAATGGGACCCCGGGTTTGTGTTACACCCCCTCCCCCACCCAAAGGGGACAGGGTAAACTGGCTGGGGGCTGCGGGTCCAGACTGAGGGGACCCACAGAGGAGGGGGCGGGACTGGACTAGCAGGGGGTTGGACTGAGCCCTTGTCACTCACCACTGACCCCGCCCAGGATGTAGGGGGCAGGTTCTCGTACACCAGGACAGGTGCCTCGTTCTCCTTGGGGGTCTCGTTCTGGCAGCGAGAGTCTGGGAGGAATCAGAGACACTGGAATTGGGGCCTTGACTTCCAGCCCCCCCCCCCGCCTCTAACCACTAGACCCCACTCCCCTCCCGGTACCAGGAGAGAACCCAGGAGTCCTGGTTCTCCCGGGATGGGGGTGGCTGTTACTCACAGAGGAAATAGACCGTGACTCCGACCAGCGCTGCCCCCGCTAGTGACCCGATGACAATCCCGGCGACGGCCCCGGCAGAGAGAGCTGGACGAGGGGTGTCTGGAGGAGAGATGGGGCGGGGAGGTTGGATCAGACGTTCAGCCACAATCCCCCCACCCGGCTCCCTGCAGCCCGGCACCGCCTAGCACCGCACTGGGGCGTTGGTGCCAGCACTGGGATCCCTGTGTTTGCAGCGCGTTGCTCCATCCCGGAGACTCACCCGTCCCTGTCACCCACACGACGACAGACGCCCAGGCAGTGCGGCCGGTGACGGGGTTGTGAGTCCAGCACTCGTACGTCCCCTGCTGAGCCCAGGTCGTGAGATTAAAGGTCAAGCTGCTCCCGGTCTCCTTAGTGTCGGTGTCGTTGAGAAGCCAGCGATAGCTCGGGGCTGGGACGGAGTCGGCAACACACGTCAGCTTCAGAAGTGACCCGAGAGTCAGGGCGATGGGTCCTGGTGGGTCTATCTGGGCAGAGTCCGGCCCATCTACAGAGAGAGGGACAGGGTCAGGGGATGGATGGGGTCAGTGAGGAGTCCCTGTTTAACCAGCACCCTGCCCCACCCCAGAGGCAGCTGCATTTCTGTGGCTGGGTGATGCCGGCAGGACCAGGGGCAGCGCGGCCGGGGACGGGGCTGCAGTTACTCACAGGCCACCGTGACATTGCTGGGCTCGCTGCGGTTAGTGCTGACGGGGTTCCCGACCTCGCACTGGTAGGCGCCGGCGTCACCCCGAGTGACACCCAGCACCGTGAGGGTCCAATTGTCAGGGGACAGCACCAGCCGCTCACTGGGCACGAGAGATGCCCCATCCCGGAGCCAGAGCATGGTGTTGACGCTGGGGGAGCTGTTACACGTAAGAGTGAAGGTCCCGTTCTCCAGTACCTGGGTTTGGTTTGGCGTCACTGTGGGCTTGGGCAGGATTTCTGTGCAGGGAACAGAGAGAGCGTTACCATGCGTCCCGGCTCCTCCATGCAGGATTGGGGCTGCTGTCCTGCAGGACTGGGGCAAGGGTGCTGGTGTTGCCACCATGTGAGGATGTGGGAAGGGTCCTGCGGTGTCATGGAAAGGGTCCTTCACCCTTTGCACCTCAGAGCTGCGGAAGCTGGCGGTCGTCTTCTGGACTCCGGCAGAGGGTCCCTCTCCCCGGCGTTAAGTCTCACAGTTATTGGTGCCTCCCTGAGCCCCATGATTTTTGGGAGACTCTCGGCTGTGGTTCGAAGGGAGAGCGATGCTCCGGCTCCCAGGTCTGTCCCAGGATCCAGCCTGACAGCAGGGTTTTCAATGGTTGGTGCCACCGGATGCCCTGTGGGCACAGCCCTGTGCCGGTTCCTTGCCGTCCCTTCCGACCCGGACGGATCTCCCCATCCCAGACCCAGGCCAGGGGTGGGGGTGACCTCGCTGGTGCATCATGGGCAGTCAGCCAGAGTGTGACGAAGTGGGACTATTCTTAATGTTTCCTCTGAATACTGTGGGTGCCTCAGTTTCCCCTATGCATTTCTGGAGTCTCTAGGTGGTGGGATAAGGGGGTGTGATAGTTGCAGAGTCTGAGAGGGCCAGTGCACATAAATCACTCACACTCTGTCTCCTGGCAACAAATGGCCAGGGCTCTTCCCCCCTGCAAGGGAATAGCTAAAGGTGAACAAAGAGATCAGGTGACCTCCTGGCCCGGGAAAGAGACAAAGCCCAGAGGAGGAGGGGCTGGAGGGTTTCAGTTTGGGGCTGGCTGGGGACGGGGAGTGAGGGCAGACGGGGGTGTCTGGCTCCCTGGGGCCCCCCAGAATGGACCTGGCTGAGGGGTCCCGTTCTCTGTCCCTACAAGCTCTGTTTTAGACCATGTTCCTGTCATCTACTAAACCTCTGTTTTACTGGCTGGCTGAGTCTCACGTCTGACTGCGAAGTGGGGGTGCAGGACCCTCTGGCTGCCCCAGGACCCAGCCAGGGCGGACTCGCTGTGGGAAGCGCACGGAGGGGCAGATGCTGAATGCTCCAAGGGCAGACCCAGGAGGTGAAGCCGTGTGAGCTCCTTGCCCTGAAGATGGTCTGCTCCGAGGGAGAGGAGGCTCCCCAGAGTCCTGACTGGCTTTGTGGGGAGCAGGTCCAGAGCATCGCCTGGGGACTCCAGGACATCCAGTTTCACCTTCAGGGACTGGTGAGTGTGCCCCCAACAGTGCCCGGCTCCCCCCACCCTGCAGACAGCTGGGGGGGGGCTGGATTTGGGGAGTCCTGGCGCAAAGGACCCCACAGTGACATCATGAGCCCCCCTCCCCCGTAGGCTCCAAAACTGAGCAAAGTGGGTGCAAAAGAACAGGTGGGTCTGACACCCCCCCCCGATACAGGGGTTTTCCCAGCATGCACCAGGGCTCCTGGGGGGGCCTCATCTCCGCAGCTGATCGTACACACCCCACTGTGCAGCCTGCAGCTCTGGGGAAACAGGGAGGGGTCAGAGACACCCTGGGGATCCGGGGACACCCCC